TATTACGGAAGGAAAAACACAATACGACTTGTACATTGGATGATTTGTATAATCTAATCGTTGGCAGACAATTATATGTGAAATTGATGGTGAACATGATAAGGAAGACTATGTTTACTGAGTGGGTGAACGATTATAAGAAGAGGATGAAGAATTATGGAACGAATCTTGTTGCGTCGCGAGAAAAGACTATGATAAGTCGTGCTGAATCGCGTGAATTAATATCTGGTGGTGTGTCGGAAGAAGATGACGACGACGCTATGCCGGCTGCGGTGCCTGCGGTATGTGTTACCGAAAAATTGCAATCTGTTGGACATGGCGATCCTGTTGCCTCAACGTCTGTGCCGCCTGTTAAGCGAGGCGTTGTGAGTCTTGACGCGGAATCCGTTGACAAAATGAAGAGCAAGTCGTCTGGAGGTTTCGATTCCTTGTTTGATGTGCCGATCGAGTCGTATGGAATTCAGCAATATATATCTAAAGTTGACAACAAGCGTTTGTTTATTCTAAAATCACCTGGGGAGCTCGGGTATCGAATGATTCGACTTGAAATTTATGATGTAAATAAGATTATTGGATTGGATCGGCGTCAATGGTGGAAAACAGCTGAAGTTCGAGCACAGTTTCTCATGTCTTCCGAATCCGATCGAAAGCAGCTGTTGGTGCAGAAATTACTGGACGCAGCGGCCGATGATTTGAGGAAAGTTGATGGAGTCAGGAGAGAGACGACGGATATATTTTTGTAAGAGGAAGGTTAGTCCTACAAAATTTTATTTTTTTTCAGAGTTTTATGTTTTCTCTAACTGTTTGTATTTTTGCAGGTTGGAAAGAGGACGACAGGTCGTGGATATGAATAGATCATCAAAAGTTTCGTATTATTATGCGTTGTTTACAGTAATCTATGCGATGCGAGATAGTGTTTTGAGGTGTGTATTGAAGTCAATATATTCTTAAAGTAGTTGAAATTCGGTGTGGCTCACCGCTGCGACAAATTTTAACGTTGTGAACGTCACATATTAGACTGCTCGAATAATTGTCGAAGATTCTAACATGATGTTCATGACGTTAAAATTTGTTGCATTAGTGATCCATTGAAAATTTGTGTATGCAATGAAAAAAATTGTTCTCGTGCAATTTTGATTTTATTGTCTGAATGCGATGT